AATGGTATGGGGTGGTCTAGATTCAGTTAAAATAATTTTAAAATGTTTTAATGATTAGTAAAATTGGTTTTGACTGATCTTAAATGGTTTAATGGTAAAAGTATGGATGGGTTTGATTGAGGTTTTTAGATAATAGAGGAAACTCTAGAATTGTATTTCATGGTTAAAGAAGGTTAAGAAAACTTCTAACTGATAATTAGACCTGATGTTGTAAATGTTTGATACTTTAAACTTGGACTCTTTCATCTAACAGAATTCATAGTTTATGACATCGGGTTCCAATCGCAAAAGTTAGGGATTAGTATCTCAGTATTTGTATAAGGAACTCAGTTTTAAATAATTAGGAAAAGTAAAGAAATGATTTTTGGTTTGCAGCTTGTAAACCCAGCGTGGCCTGGAAACTAAACTTTCTCTATAAAAGTCAACCAACGAGGTTATAGTGTATAAGTTGATGATGTACGCTATTCCTTTACTAATTCTATAGGCCATTAACTATACCGAGAGTGTACTGCATATTTGTTTATTATAAGGAGATTCTGGCCTAACAGTATATCAATATTAGTAAACAGTTGTAAGTGTACAGTACAGGGGGCGGAAACGTCATGTGTGTGTGTCTGTATCAAAAGAGTGTGTGTCAGTTTACTGTACCAAAGGTTTGTACTGTAGGTTTATACAGTACATAAGAATCTCGGGATTTGTGCAGTCTAGGAGAGTACGGTTGTTTATTGTTAATTGTTTACTTAAACATATGTTTAATATACATGTAATATATTATTTACATATTTAAGTCAACACTATAAAGCCAAATTTTCATGCAAAGAATATAATTTTATTAAAGTTTACAATAAACTACTCGTTATTCAAATTTAATTATAATCGACGACATTGTTCTACAATTTCCTTGACTGTTGTCATGTTGTGTGTCTGTACCAGAAGAGTGTGTGTCAGTTTACTGTACTGGTCTGCAAAGCAGTGCGACTGGCTTTCTCTTGCCGGACCAGCGCCATTTCCTTTCCCTTTATTCCTGTTCCCTGGTACAGTACAGCTAACTGAGGACACAGGTAGAGAACCATCATCCCCCCTGAAGTAAACTCATTCAACTAAGAATTTATTAACCAAGCTAAGATCGATTCTGGAGTTCTACCAAGTTCCCGATCTGTTAAGGGATTTATGATAAATATACAAACATACATCAAAACGAGTAAAGAGTAAGACGGTTTTGAATGGATAAGAATTGTTTAGAATGATTTAAAGGATTGAGGAAGCTTAATAATGATCAAGTATTGTTTTAAATGAAGGTTAAGGATGGTTGAAAGTGTTACAGAATGTTTTCTCTTCATAATTAGTAAAGTAATGGGTAGAAATTTCAAGATAAATCTCCAGTATCCTTGGATGGAGGATAGGATACAGAATTCAAAATACAGAATTTAGGATACAGGATTCAGGATACAGAACACAAGATACATGAAATCAAGACTCAGGATACAGGATTTAGGATACAGGATTCAAAATGCAGGATTTATAATACAGGATTCAGGTTACAGGATTCATGATACAGGATTCATGATACAGGATACAGGATACAGGATACAGGATACAGGATACAGGATACAGGATTCAGGATACAGGATTCAGGATACATGATTCAGGATTCTGGATACAGGATTCAGGATACAGGATACAGGATACAGGATTCAGGATTCAGGATACAGGATTCAGGATACAGGATTCAGGTTACAGGATTTCGGATTTCGGATTCAGGATTCAGGATACAGGATACAGGATTCAGGATACAGGATACAGGATTCAGGATACAGGATACAGGATACAGGATTCAGGATTCAGGATACAGGATACAGGATTCAGGATACAGGATACAGGATTCAGGATTCAGGATACAGGATTCAGAATACAGGATTCAGGATTCAGGATTTAAGATTTAGGATACAGGTTTCAGGATACAGGATCCAGGATTCAAGTTACAGGATTCAGGACATATGGTGCATGATACAGGAAATATAGGACACAGGATATAGGATACATGATAAATTCAGTATATTTGAGTTTTACAGTATTTTGACACATAAAGAATTGATACGGATTCAGGATAAAGAATTCTAAATTCATTAGGGTTAAAATAAACAAGCACTAAAATTTGCTTTTAAAAAACAATTTATTTTTGAAATATGTTTTCTTAAAGGTGTTAGTCTGCATGTGAACCTGTGAGTATAAGAAAGGTTAAATTGTACACACCCTCTTCCAGTTCTCCAGTTTTCTCTCCAGGGTTCAGAACTCATTCAGAGAAATTAGAAAGAGAGACGAACCATTATTTTATTTTTGCAAAATGTGTAAATTTGAATTTTTTTTCGGGTATTTTTTTTCGTCAAAATAAATCCATTAAATGTAAAAAATTCGTCTTTTTACGATCATAGAAAATTTTTTTTCAATATCTAGAAAGCAAAAATGAAAATACAAAATACAATTTTTCTCAAGTAAAAATTACAAGTAAGTCGAAAACTCTGTTTATTAAAATTGAAAATAAAACTACTTGCTTGTAAATAAAAATGTTAAACTTAAAAGCAATGACGTTGAGAATAAAGAATGAAATGTCATTTAAGTTGAGAAAATTGCAACGGCTCTTTGTTATTACTAAAGTGAAAATTGCAACGCCCCTTTTGGAAAATTTGCAGTTTTGCATTTTACCTCCTCTTTTATTCAGTATCCTGGGTTTTCTACAGGTTTTACAATGTAAAATATTACTCAATTAGATTTGCAGAGAGGAGAGGAGATTGATGTAATTTAATTTAAATGGGTGGCCCTTCAAAGATAGTTGTACCTTTTCAAGAATACAGCTTGTTATTGGATTAAGAATGAGGAAGATGTCTTCGTTTTATACATTAAAAGTCATGAATTCTCTCAGCTTCACTGCAGAGAACCACAATTGAAAATTTTCAATTCTCAGATATAAAAAAAGGATGACTCCAAGTTAAAAGGGCACCGTTGTCAATCGAATAAGGGTCACTAGAGAACTAGTTCTTTAAGGGATGCAGTTTTAGTAGTTCATGGTTAGGCTTAGTACACTTGTTATAGCACCTTCTATCTGAGCATATTCAACTAATTTAATTATCTTGGCATTGCTTTTACATGGAGAGTTTTCAAAACTAAATATTCACATTTACTTCTTGGAACTCAGTTTTGTTTAATTAAAACGTGTTGACTAATTAGTTCCAATGATTATACATCTACTGCACTGTGAAATCTATAAAAGCTTAACTCTAACCGCCCTCCCCCCCCCTCCTCCCCATCCCCCCCCTGTGTGTCTGTACCAGAAGAGTGTGTGTCAGTTTAATTGAAATATCACCAGTTTATAAATATATATTAACGAAAATACAAACGTGTGCGCACGATTAAACCCAAAACAGTTTTCGCGCCCTTTTGCAATCATTCAATAACACAATCGTGCATAACTCTTTAAGCACGCACACTTTTCCCCCTTTGACATTGATTTATAAGAGTCTCTGTGCGCAGAAATTCATCTTCATTTCTTTACGCGCGTTTTTCTGCAAATTTAGAAATTATTCGCGCTGTTGTTGAAATACTGATGCTCTATTGTTTTTAATTTTTCTTTTGTGCAATTACATTTGGGAAGGAGGAGGAGGTGCCTAGGCTATGTTTTTGAAATTATTTAAATCAATGATAAATGTCAAATAAGTAAATATATCAAAAGAAAAATTGGTTAACGAAGAGAAGTTACTTTAAAAATTAATTTCTTTTAGAGGGACAGTTATTTTAAATTCAAGTGACCCTCTATAACGAAGATGGCAATGTAAGATTTACAAATTTATCCTTACAAGCTTTGTCTGATCAAGTATGAATTAGATATCCATGTTTTTGTTTATTTAAATTGTGTTTATTTTCATTTGTGGTTTCTCTGCAAAGTGATTTGCGCATTTCTTGGTTATAGGAAACTATAATTACTTTTTGAGTGAGAAAAAACGCAGTTATCTTCCACATTTTGATCAGATTAAGGTTTCAAGGGTACCCCGGTAATTTGGACATTGCTTTCTTTGTATCGATATATTCACCTATATTTAAAATTACACTTGCAGTCACGTTAATGTATATTACCGATTTGACATTAAAGGTTTTTCTGTAACATATTCATTTTAGCTTCTTCATTAAAAATCACACTGTCTTCCAATTATTTTTCTATGATAGATAAATCACAATAATAAACTCTATCATCCACTTAGAACACAATTAGATCGGATCCAATGAATAACAAGTATTCTTAAATGAGTTTTTAAAAAAGCAGTTTTCCCCTTTAAACAATTAAAAATGACAAAGTTTTGATTGGATTTCAATTGAATCACAATTTTATTACTATACTGAATCCTATTATTGAGAGCTTAGATCCAATAAAGTTTCACTGAACCCTCTACAATTGTGTTCCCACTCAATCCCACTTTACTTGATAAGATGTCGCAGTTAGCTTTGTAAATACAAAGAATTATTTGCAAAAACTAGGCTGTACTGCCTGCATCCCATAAGACACCCACGTTTTCCAATAAAAACTGCATAGAAAAGTTTGATGCTATTTCAAATTATTCAATTGCAAGGTTTGTTTTTGAACTCTGTATTCTTTTTGTATTATAAAAATCGGGAAAATTAAACCTTTCTAAATTTAATTAAAACCCTTTTTTACTTCAACGGCTTTGATTTGATATATGAACATTGTATGTATTTCAGTCCTGACAAAAATGCATCTATTGATATGCACTATGTATTCAGAATGCAAATCTACTTGATAGCTTTATACGAACAAATAAATTTCAGTTTACTCTCTAAAAATGCATTTAACAGCACAATGATACAGTGTCTGAACTCGGCAAAATGGTTTTTAGCTTTGGAATTTTGTTTCTGGTAAATGTTATCTCACGATTTAGACAACCATAATTGTTTGAGTTTAAGCTGAATAATCAATCAATCAATATATCTACCTTGGAATAGAGATGAAATCAAAAGTAAAGATATTTCACTGTAAATCACTGTGTCCCGCGGAGACCTGAACGGTTGAATGGAGAGACAGCGTCGGAGACGGGACAGCTCCGCACACTGACCAGAGAACTGTTAACGCCGGGATAGACAAGTAGCGACTGCGTTTAATATACTTTGGTTTGAAGAACACACACATCTGGGCTGGGTCCATCCCACACACACTGTAGAAATTAAAATGTACACATTTTAAATTAAATTTTGCGCAAAACGATTATTATTATGCAATTAATTTCTACAGAATTAGATGGCTGAAACTGAAAGTGACGTAATAACTCCAAATCATAAATTTTAAAAAGTTTTGAATTAAACTTGGCACCATGTTGATATTTCTCTGTGAAGTGTAAACATGAATATTTGTTTTAATTAAACAAAATATCTAATATTTAAAACCAAAACACAATAGAACTTGAGCTGGAAACATTTGCTTTAGAACTCAAAATCTCAAAATCGCTTGATCTCGATATCCACAGCATGGGCGCTTTTAGTTTGAGGATCAATTCCTTATTTCTTCATTTATTTCAGTTACTCTTTCAGATCTGGGAACAGATGAAATAAATCTTTATTTGATATCCAGCATGGTAATCGTACACAGTCAGGGAGCTTTGATCAGGGATTAAAGGGGGGCATTCACTGAGATATCAGCATAAAGTTAGTCACCAAATTATTAGACAGTCTTGATTTTAAAGTGTCGCAACGCCTTGGCATTTGGTTTTATCTCAACGACATTTTGTAGACTAGTCGGACATATACATTTTAAAACTGACACGCGCTTCTTTCTAGCTTCAGATTAAAATGAGAAATTGACATATAAACTGGTAGATTTTTGCGTACCAGCATGCACACATCTTGCAGTGCTTTCAGCAGGGGAGGAATAACTGAAATTAAAAGTGTCCTCAGTTGAAATCGAGATCAAGCGATTGTGATTATAACATAAAATTTCCTGAGCTCAGGTTTAAACCTTGTCTTCGCTGTTTCATCGAAATAAAAGCTTGTGAAAACTTTAAACCTAATTTCTTCAGATTTATTGCGTGTAAACAAATAATTCTCATAAAATTTAACAAGTCATCATGCACTTCAAACATATCGGAGACTGTCAACAGAAATTTCAAGGAACGACTATACAGGGTTACCCACAAAGAATGAATCTGTAAAGACGACCTGAAACTCATCTAATATGATGGTCCCACGGTTACATTAAGTCTAAGCCTTAACATATAGTCGTTTAATGGTTTATTTTGTTATTTGCCAAAAAAGTAACAAATTTACAGTGTATAGACTAGAGAATCATTAATGTGAGGAGTCGTCTCTGTCTCACTCTTTGTGAGTAACCGTGTAAAAAGACTACCATTAGCGATTCAGAATATTTAAATCGTTCCTTGACAAATGACAGGTTTATATATAGACTAGCTTGGGAACCCAGCCTTGCCCAGGTTACTCTTAGTTACTCCCGCCGTTTACCCGCACTTAATCGTAAATTACGATTTTAGTTATTTTTCAAGATAAAACCCACTCAACCTAGAATCTCAAAACTAAAGTAAGAACATTCCCGTGAATCTCCCGAGTTACCCAATCAACATTTGTGGCAAACCGGTCCAGGGCTTCCTGAGTTATGGTCGGAAAACAAACAGACAGACAGACAGACAGATAGACAAACAAATATATAGAGATATAAAAATTTGCATACATAGAAAATCTTTCAGAGAAAGCAATTTTAAAATATGCTGTCAGTATGTCATGCAGCGTCCTCAACGCTAAAACAAGATGTAAATAAAATCTCTTTTATACTCCTCCAAAACGAAACAGAAAAATTCTTAAACGACCCACTGTTTTAAGAACAAAAACGTTATCAGATTCATTATTCAATTCCTATTTATATTTTAAATTAAAATCTGATTGAATTTTTGTCGAATACCCCAAGGTATAACCGCAGTTTTAAATTTTTTTCTTCTTCATAATTCTGAACAAAGAAGAAGATGCCTTTGTGTTTTCAATAGTAAAAGACGTTTCAAAAACAATATTTTAGCTTGTGATTATTTATGTGTGAAATACGGGGGGTGTTCATAGATATACAAGAATATAGATCGCTAATGCAGACTGTAAAGCTGAAAATTGTACAATGGACAACTGGACATCATGAACTCGTCATCTAAAAAGGTCATTGATTACGTTTTCTACTCGGGGTCAATCTGTAGTGTATTTTTTACCAATTTGTTAAAAGAAGTTTAATAAAAACTAGGCTTCTCCTGGGCTTCTCCCATTAACTAGTTTAGCTTTTAACCCTAAACAGGCTGGGCCGGCCCTATAGTTATTTTGTCCTAGCACTCTCATTTTTTCACTATAACCGTGACATTTTGTGACTTTCAATGCATAGTAATTTAAAGGAATTTTGTCAATTTTTTTTTTAATTCATAGGGTAGGGTATAGGGCGGTAAAAAGTCCGGTCTGTGAAAAAAAAAATCTAAAATGGCCCCAAATCTTTTTGTGACTAAAACTACAGATCTAAAATTTATATTTTTAAAAGCTGTGGAAAAATGGATGTAGAAAAATTTTGAAATCTGTTAAAAAAAAAAAAAAGCAAAAACATTTTTTACCCTTTTTTGGCCTTTTTTCAATCTTCGCTAGCGCCCAAACTAATAGACTTATCGGTCTAATTTTTGTTCAAAGAGCTGGCCTTAAAAAATTGGTCTATGTATATGCATTTTAACCCTTAACCTATTCTCTAGGGCTTTTTCTATTGGGGGTGTAGGATCCTCCAGGGCTATACATAGATTTATGACCCCCCAGCCTGTATAGCGTTAACTGTATGATTTGGGTTTCTTTTTATGTTTAAATTGGTACATTTTTAAAATTAATTAATGTCAACTTTTTTTCATGACCCTTTTAAAAATTAAAATATCAAAAACAGATTCTAAAAGTGAAAATTTCAAGTCCAAACACACAAACACAGAAGCAGACAAGACAAATGTGTAAATGAAAGAATAGTTTAAAAAATCTCTTAATTGATGAGCAAACAAACGTAATTTGGACAATTTTTTGCGGAGTTTGGTTGAGTTTTCTTCTCTGTTTTTTTCTCTTGCTAAATATTCGCAGGTTGGGAACTTTGTCTTGCAGTTGTAAATAAAGAATAAGTAACAATTTGCTCTAGCCAATCGATTTCTCTAATCCACTCTAGACAAATTGAAGAGAGATCCTGAAATAAAACAAAATTAATAGCTAAAAAAATTATTCTTGGTGTTAATTAACATATTTCTGTATCAGTTGTAAATTAATAGTATAATTACTTCAATAATTACTCCATTAATTAATAAATTAATGAACCATTAAGGCGTCACACACTGGCCAGGTTAGTAATTTATTACTCTACTTCATGTTGTTCATTGATATAAAGAAATCATCTAGCTGTAAAACTATATTAACAAACCTTAACTTTTAACTTTGTTTACTTGTGACATGGATCTGTGCACAATTGCTGTGAGCCTGTGCCTCATGTTTATTGGACTATTTTTTCCTGATGCAGAGCTCGGCCTTCTATCAAATTCTTACCGAAGCGCTCGGTCCTCTGACAGGGGCGTACGAGGGGGGGGGGGCGCCCCCGCACCCCTCTACACGTGCCCCCCTGAGAGGCTGAGGGGGGCACCAATGGGGGAGGCTCTTTTAATATTACATCTGCTTGCATTTCCCTTCCTCAGGTCAGGCACAGTGGTGTACCTAGGGGGACAGTAGTCCTCTTGCCCCCCCCCTGGAAAATACAAAATTAAAAGGAAACAAATTTAAAAAGTAACACCTGAAAATGACAAAGACTGAGGATTTGTCTAAATTCACTGTTAATACAAGGAGAGAAAAGTTTTAGCCTTCTAAAGAGAATACTTCATTACACAAGATGTACTATGACGGAGAGCAGACTTAACGATCTTGCACTTATAGCTTTACACCCTATAAGGCTGTCTGAGCTCTCTACTGAAAAAATCATTGAAATGTTTGTGCAAGCAAATCCCAGAAAATTGTAGCTTAAAAGAGTTGGTGAATATGTAGATTGAGTAAATTCTATCTAAAAATTTCAGAAGAAATTTCGTTTTTTAGTAAAAATATAATTTTTAATGATGCTGTGATTATTGATTAAGTTAGCTGTGATGGAGTTAAGTGATAAATTTATAAAGTCAAAAAGTTAGTTTTTCAAGCAAAAGAATAATTTTTAGACTCTAAGGTTAGTAACACCCAAAAATGTAGTCTTTTTGCTGTATTTTTATGGTGAATTTAACAAATCCAGTTGGGAGGGGGGGCAAAAAAATTAATAAAAGGTATTAATTTTTATCAAAAAAGGTGTTTTTAAGGGGGGGGGCACAATGTTGCTAAGGGGGGGGACCAAAATTTTTTTTTGCGCGCTTACGCGCACTAATTGTGCCCCCCCCCCCCTAAACAAAAGCCCCTGTCCTCTGACAGTCTAACCTACCCTTTTAGCCCATTTTAAGTTTTTTTTTAATAATCTTTTTTGTTTCTTTATTTTCTTGTGGTTTTTAACATTTTTTAATATCGATTTTGATGGTTATTATATCGTTCAATAAATTTTCAATAAAATGTGGAACTAACATCTACTTTTTTTTACTCTACTATACAGAGGTTTGGTATATTACCATCTCCGAAATTTAAAATAACCTACCCTGTTTGGAGTTTGCATGGCACAGTAAATTGAAATATACAATTAATCGATTAAATTTAAAGATTAAAATCAACCCTTCCCCCCCCCCTCCCTCTCCTAGCTCTTCAACCACTTAACTTCCCTTCCCTTTTAGGGTAACACCTATATCTCCTCTCCTAGCCCAGTACACCCATTATCTTTATTTACCAATACTCCCCTTTTATTGAAGAAATTTTCAAACTTTTGTTAAAAGCTTTCTGACATAAACTTGAATATTCTTAACCTAGTTACATATTATATGTATAAATATGGCTTTCCATTCATTTATTTAGTATTTTTATGACTGACTGAGAAAAGGACAAAAGAACATAACTCAATGATGTTTGAAAATCCAGCTTTCTACAAGTCATTGGCAAATCAACGCTACATGCGATTAACAAAAATCATATTATTAACCAAACCAAATA